GGTTATTAATATTCCGTCTCTATAGAGTTCGTCTTGTGTTGGTAATAAACCTACACAGGGAGATCTGAATCTTTTTCGCAGTTTGTACGTTTGATACATTAACAATGAAGGCTAAAAAGTTGAACCTCTATTAAGCGGCCACCCTCAGGCCACCAGTAAGTGGCCCCTTATGGCCCCTTAGTGTAGGCTGACCCGGTGCTTAAGAGAGGTCCTTCATAAATAAACATTAGGGAGCTTAAGCAAAGACATTTTTGAGCGACGCACGTCAACCGGAAGTGAGGCCTTCCCCCTTTTTATATGCCTTGACACACGTTCCTTGACTCTAACAAATTTGTATCCATAGTGCTAAGCATCTTTTCTCTTATAAAGAAGATTCACCCGAGAGTTTGACGTAAACCACTCTCCAAGGATGCAAAAATTCTACTTCCGGTTGACGTGTGTCGCTCAAAAACGCCGTTGCTTAACATCACTTTACTCTACTTAAAACAGACACGAGACGGAAGCATTACTACTGGTCCACAATCAGCCGTCACCTTCTCTCTCGGACTGTATATTCCCCGTCTTCATATGTTAAAAATAAAGGCAAACTAAGTGTATCAAGCGCTTGATGGCCGCTTAATAGAAGTGACAAAAATAGGACAACTCTCGCCCAGGATGCCCAAAAAGTGTTGCGATCGCTTAATGGTGTTGGACACTTTTAATTAAAATTGAGGTTTCATCACAATTTTTCCTACAATTATTTCGCAACTTTGATTACTGACCGCTTAATGGAGGTTCAACTGTATGTATTATTAAAAACCTTGCTCTTGGGAATATCTCCGAAAAACGCGTTTTAATGCCAGTCGAGCCGTCTCCTGGTCACGTTCTGGCTATAAAGAGCGAAAACGTACCACAAAGCCGTTTACAGGGTCTGCTGATCCTGATGGAAAATATTACCTTCCGAAGTTCGGGCATGCGCAAAACGCAAAATTTCGAGATTTTGGGAGGTTTAATGTGATACAGCAGTCTTGACACTTTCTTTTCCTGGGTATTTAGTAGGCTTCATTTCGGGGGGAAAATTTCTGGTTAAAGTTTTTAGAATCTTAGGACTAGATGAAACGAAAGGTAGGTGGGTAGTGAAAATTGATTTTCATGGGAACTTTCGGGTCAACGCTACATGGTTTTTTGCCTTTTTATGCGGACTCCTTGACTGAATCGTGCTCATTCTGGTGTGGTTTAAAAGTTCTCTTCATTCCACACAACTTAGCTGACAAAGTTGTCTTTGACCGTTTAAACTGATAACGTCACATGTGGTATAAGGGACGTGAATCCGAACGGGCGGTTACGGGCACTTTAGGGGCGAATACGTTAAGCGACCAACAAACTCACTTGAGAAAGACGGTTACCAAAACGGAAAGAGAATAGACTGTGGCTCCTTTCCAAGTACAACATTTTTACCTGTGTGTTCCTCCAATAAAAAACAGTTGATTTTTTAGTGGATGATAGATACCGTCAATGAAGTAATCCAGTCGATCTGCAGTCTAAATTCACACAAAGAATTAAAAAGAAGCAAATCAACATCACAATCAACACTGCGAAACAACGCTTCTCCAAAATGTCAATAACTGCCGGGGCGTAATTGTTATCATAAGAACAACACGTAGAAAGATAAAAGTGGGTATGTAGTTCCTAGTAGAGTGGATAGGATGAGGGGATTAGGATTCACTTGGGGTCACGACTAAGGAAGTCCCAACAGTACCTTCAAGAAGATGGAGTGTCAACTAAGGAAGCCTTAAGGATAAATCTAAGAAGGATTAACTAAGCGGACATTGATGCCCTATTTGCCGTTTGTACATCTTCCGTAATACATCTTGTTTCCCCCGCCTCAAGATTTTCCATAGGCATTGTTTTCAATTTCGCACTGGTTCAAACTACATCGATCTTATTCAATTTCGTTTAATTTGTCAAATGTTGGCAAAAGTTTCTGGGGTCGAATCCGAAAGGGCCTATCCAAGTTTAGAAAAAGAAAAGGAAAATGTTATGTTTTGTTCACCTACTCCGTAAAGAGGGCGCGTGAAATTAGGAAGTTTTATGTCGCAGACGTGCAACGACGGCTAAGAAATGTACAAAAAAGCGTGATGCACACGTGTGCAAAGTTGTTGTTTTGCTTATCTAAACCTATTGCTTTTTTTTCCGTTCTCGTTGCCGTCGCCGTCGTCGTTGCTTAAACTCCCTCCTGTTGTGATCCAGAAATTTTGCTACCATAGTAACGTGACGTCACTTTTCTTCTCCCTATACCCAGGAGAAAGTTAAAACAAAGGTTCTGCAACATTTAGAAAGGCAACAATGAAGGGGTACTACGGTAAGATGTGTAAATGGCCAATGGTTTCTCTGAAGAGGGTGGAGTGAAGGGATATGGAGGTTCTTTCAGTCCAGATCCAAACTTTAAATCGCCTCATATATTTTCCTGAAGTTTTCCCAATCTTGTTTTGTTTTCAACTCGCCAAGGCAACCATTGCATGTAACTACAAATTATGGTTTAAAACTTACCCCATTTTCTTCTCTTGGATTTTTAAATTCAGTAGTCATTGTTGCCTGAAAAAAAAAAGAATTAAAGAAATGAATATCATTCAAATATGATCACCTACTAAGGACTACATTTTTGGTCCAGCCAGTGTTTGAACCCCATGCATCCCAAATGGCAAAACAGCAACTATACTACTTTGGGATCACCTTAGGTTTCTGGGAAACTGCCCACCTACCCCTCCCCTAAGCTAACATTAACACTTACTTCTCACTTAGGGCAAAATAATGGCTTAGGGGAGGGGTAGGTGGGCAGTTTCCTAGAAACCTAAATTAATCCTAAATTTGTTAACCCTTTCAGCTCCAATATCCACATGCAAATTCTCCAGACTCATCTCCAGACTTTCCTTGATGATAACTTGTGATAATTTGATCAAAGATCAAAGCATTTGCTCCATGGTCATTATTGTATCAATTCTCCTAACCTTGCAAATGAAGGCATCACGGAAAAGCTGACTTCACCTTCTTTCCACTTTTTTAGCAATTATTTCAACTCACCTGGCTATTAAAAGTTAGGAAATTAGGTTGGAACTGAAGAAAGGGTACTACATCTAAGCTCAGACAGATATTATGAGATATTGTAAAATGTATTGTCTTTCTCTCCGTGTTTTCTAAAGAAAACTTAACATTTGGTAGTCATGCAGGGACGGCTAAGAAATTTACCGAAAAGTGTGATGCAACTGCAAAGTAGTTGTTTTGCTCCTAACTCAATTTTTTTGCTTTTTTTCTTTTTTTGCTGGTTCAGTCATAATTTCTTGTCGTACTTCCCTGTTATTCTGCTGAGAAGGCTATCATGACTATCATAATTTCTTGTAGATGGTGAAGAAGTAAATGAGTATCAGCAGTCCCTAGAAATACCCTATTTTGTATTAGAGAAGCTGGTATTCAAATACAAAGTAAGATCCCATAAAATACACAGCAATAGCCTTGCCTCAGGTACATCCCAGAGTTGAAGAGTTTCTATATGGGTCACACAATAAAGACTTGAATACGATGGTCCATAATATCCAAGTTGGCTCTGGAAAGGAAGACAATAATTATTACAACTCACAAATGCTTCACAAGTTGCAAGCAGAAATGTCCTTCCCGGATGGGAGGTCAGACTGACATAAGGTTCCTGTCAGTAATATTTATATATTTGATGCAATGTGAATAAATAATTGTGGATCATCTACACTCCAGCTAATGGTGAAAAAAAAATTCTGAAAAACTGCAGCCTGCAAGATCACACTATCCTCCTTTTGACCAACTGGGGCCTGGGAGGGAAAATAAATGATTTTATGGTCCTTTATGATCATTTGCATCACAACAACTTCATGGGAATAGTACTAGGCTAGCATCAACATCAACTTATTATATTGATCAGCTTAGAACTAATCACTGTAAAGTTAATATACACTTCTCTGGTCCTTCTGTTAATCTTCTGAATAATCTGTCAAGATGAAAATTTAAAAAGTGGTTCTTTGCTTTTATTTAAGCAAATGATGAAGGCAAATCTTTTATCCACATACTCTTGATGCTGGCTAGCATGGTATGACTTACCCTTATCAATGTAAACTTTATAGTTATCTGGTACTGTTTTGTTTTGCAGTGTTCTATTTCATTTTTTTAAATTAATTAATTTACTTATTTACTTTTCATTACTATCATTTTTTTGCCTAAATTTAAGTTATTTTCCTCTTTATCTTTCACGTGTCACAACCCTATAGAATGTAATTCAAATATTTGTAACTACTCAGCTTGTTTAGTTTTTTGCTATAATTCTGAGTAGTTTTTTACCTGATCTATTTTAATTCATTCTGTTTTTTGTAAAAGTTGTTTTAAGTTGGCAAATAAAATGGTTGGTTGTTCTATATAAGGAGACCGCATGGCTAAAATAGTGAGAGTGCTGGAGAATTTGAGGACCACAAGTTCAAGCCACACCCTAAAACGGCTAGCAGCTGGCTGGAATTGTTCTTAGCAGTGCTACGTTTGTTGGGATTCTTACTTGTTCTGTTTACTCTTGTTATTTGTTCCTTTCCTTACTTGCTTCTGTACTTGTGGACCACAATGTAAACTTCTTTAGTTATCCCTATAAATTTGTTTTTTTTTTTCAACTTTAATTTTCCCCCGTACTTTCTTTTTTTCCTGTATCATGGCTTAAGTCAATTAAATAACCTCATAAAAATGGCTTACTGCTATTTCCATACCACAGATGAGCAGGTGTTAAGTACTGAGTCCAGACAGTCATCCTCACTTCCTTTACGTACATCAAACAAACAAATCAAGCCATCCTGAAATTAATTCAAGCCATGCTTCAGTTTTCTTAAACTCACTTATTAAGTTGTTATTGTCAACTTGTATTTCTGGCCGTGATTTTTGACCTTTTGATTATTCAGTTAAGTTTAATACTGGTAAGGTTTTAGCCAGAAGGGTGTCCAGGGGTTGGGTCATTAACCCCTTTTAAAAGAAATTCAAGGATAAATCAACTAATCTCTTATAATTTTCTGAGTTTCAACACAGTTTATGGAGGAAGGCATGTCATTTTGTATCACGCTTAGCAACTTGGTTTTCTGGAATGACATCATTAGTGAAACATGGAATTATTAAAATTGGAAGATGCTTCCAAAGAACGTATAACATAAAGAAGTCCTCAACCAGCCTCAGTTGTGGTTTGCTGGGCTACTGTTTTCAGCAGTTTCTTGCAAGTTCCACCTTTAATAGAATGACATCATGCCAGGAAGCCAACCAGCTAAGCTTGATCCAAACTGGCAGCTCGCAATGCTGTATTTTTTCAATCCCAGGAAAGAAATTTCAATAGGCTCCAGTGGACACTAAAAGTTCAGATTAACAGCCAGTGACTATACACACTGTGATCTTTTTATTTGTTATAAGAACAATAATACCCTTTCTGTAGTGACCTCGTCTTTGACATTACCACTCCTGTGACAAGAATCTTTGCAAGAACATTTAATATTTCCAATTTTCATATAGAAACCACATACTTACAGTTGAACCAGAAGCCATTTGATGGGTCTGTAATGGACTAAACTGAATCTAAAGATAAACAGAATGGGTTATCTAATGCAATCATTTATTTTCAATCAAAATGTCAACAACTAGCCTTGAAAGAGTGGGGTCAGTGTTGAATTTCATGAATCTGTTGGTAACATAATTTATTGTACTATTAATAAGTTGTTAAAGTGTAAATCTCTTCAATTTTAATGGAAAAAAATACACTCGAATGCGAGCGAATTCGATCTGGGAGCATAGGGTCTGCATACTACTACACTCTAACCACTAGACCAACATGGTTTCGCTACAAGATGGTGATTTCAAACAAATATTATGGTGAAAACCCCAACCCAAAATAGAAGCTAACCATTAACCCTAACCAGTATGGTTAGTGCTTAACCCTAATTAGTAATTTCAGTGCTTACCCCTAATCAGTATCGTCAGTGTTTAACCCTTATCACTATAGTCAAAATATCTGACTGCCAGTCATTTAGTGTTTTGTAAATCTTGACCGCTTACCAGCCATACAGCCACAGCAAATAATAAAACTGATTTATTTATAAAATTTTGCATTTTGTGAAAATATGCTTGAAATATATAAAATGGCTGCTTGCTCCAGTGAAGCTATTTCTTTGTCCATATGCTACGCTATTTTGCTGGTCTTGAGCATGTTCTGTTTTCTGAAAACCAACCCAGAGATATAGAGGTTTTGAACCTTGCTTTCATTCTGTCTAGACATCAACTATAATGAATTCATTATGAATGACTTTGGTTCTCGGATGACAAGTGTTGGGCAACTGCAAAAGTATGCAGCAAGGGCAAAGTTGTTTGTTTGCTAATTAGACCTTTTGTTTGTACAATTTAATGAGATTGCAAATTATTCAAATTGCAGTTCAAAATTAGTGTAAGAAGAAAGCACGTGGTAATCCACTGCGAATTCTAAATCTCCCATTCCAGCATAACCACAATTCCTTGCGAGTCTACTGCACATCCTAAATCTTCCATTCACACATAACCACAATTCCTTGCGTCTGGCAAGAAAAAGTGATTGAATGCCCCTGCAATGCAATTTTTTGCCGATTAGAGAGTTGCCTCATTCACTCACTTCAGCCTCACTCAGTGTGGCAGCAATAACACTATAAACAATTTTCAAAGTAAAAAATGTCTGGGCCTCAGAATCAAGTTAAATTTGTAATCCTCTCATGAACATCTAGAATAATGTTGTGGTTCAATTTTTTATCCCTGGTTAAAATTTTATTCCTTTTGTTTCATACTTGTTATCATACAATACCCTACCCCAAAACAAAAGAACATAAAATTTAAACCATGGATAAAATTGAATCTTAACCCATTCGCTCCTGGAGATTTTGCCGAAAAACGCGTTTTGAAGCTAGTCAAGTGGTTTTCTGGTCTTTGTCGTGCTATAAAGAGCTAAAACTTACCACAAACCGGTTTACAGGTCGTACACTTCGCGGCCCTCTGATACAGATGCAAAATATCAGCTTGTGAAGTTTGGGCATGCACAGAAAGCAAAAGTTTTTGGGTTTAAAAGTGACACAGCAGTCCTGACTTTTCACTTTCTCTCCTCCCTTCTTTTTTCGCTTTTCTTGCCTCATTTTTTTTTCTCTTGCTGGGCATTTAGTAGGCTTCATTTTGGTGGGAAGAGTTTTTAGGAAAGCTTTTAAGATCTTAGGATTAGGTGAAAGGAAAGGTAGGTGGGTAATGGAACAAGATTTTCATGGAGATTTTCAGGTCAATGTCACGTGGTTTTTTGCTTGTCTCTCCGGTGTCCTTGACTGAATTGTGCTCATTCTGGTATGATTTGAAAGATGTCTTCACTCTGCACAAGTTAGCGAAGAAAGTTGTCCTTGACCATTAAAACTGATGATGTCACAAAGGATAGAAAGTACCTGGACCCACAAGGGGGCGGTTACGGGCGGTTCAGGGTGAATGGGTTAAGCAACTTGAGTAAACTTTCTCTTAGTTTTCAGACAAAAACATAACTAAAAGGTAAAAAATATACCACAGAGACACTGACACGTCGTGGTTTGAGCATGCACTACAATAACAAAAATTTAAGTTAACTTCTGCATTGATCGCTTTGACAATGTTATAAAACAATTAGTTCCTGCTTCAGCTGTGCATGTGTATGTTGAGATATTGAGCACTTGGGAAGTTTGGAGAACACTCAAGAGGCTAGAGTTGCCCTCCGCTATGCCTCAAGCAACTCTTCCGCCTTTTTCATGTTCTCCAAACTTCCCACTTGCTCAATATCTCAACATACGCATGTTTACACATGCACTAATTGTTAATTGGTCATTTAGTGACTGACCGAGGTTGATCCAATACAGGTTCTCTCAAAAAAAGTCCAAGAAGATACACCAGAAAAAGAAATGTCCCTTTCTCAGTGGGGATGACAAGTGGGAACACGTGCTTAAAAAAAGTAACATTACAACGATACTGTGAGAGGTTGAACCCAGGGGTCATTTCATAAGTTAGGTTAATACTATCCTTCATAAAAAGTTACACTACACAATCTTAAGTTACACCAAGACACGGAGGAATGGATCCACTTCTATTAACTATGTGCACATGGTAAAATGACAGTATAGTATATTACCTGTGTTATTTCACCATTATGGGAATCTGTAAACACTTCCATATAACTCTGCAGCATCTTATTGCCTAGTTTCCTTGTATCCCTACAAAAATAGTTACTTGGAGTTTATGTATTCTTTACATAAATAATGTAAATAATGATGTTGCTATCTAAAACCACGCATCCTTTTATGATCACCAAAGGGACACCCCCAAGTTTCAGGTGTTGGTATTACCTTTGGCATCTCTGGGGTAAGCAGAAGTGTCCATTTGGAGAGATTCAAGAGAGTGTATGGGAAACGGCAATACCTTTGAGACAAGAAATCTTACCAAAGGTACAGGCAAACATCTTCACCATATGGGTCTGTAGCAGCTGCTACGATCTCATCAGAACAGTTTAAACCACAAGCAGAAAAGGGACAGTTGTTTGGACCTGGAACAATGTGAGCAAATGTATCAGTAAATAAATAAATAACAATTTAGAGGTAGCACATCCAGATAGTGGTACTTCATATACAATTCCTGGTCAAATTGGAATTTGTAAATGTTGGTTTTTGAAGAGAGAGCAGCGTGCAAAGAAAGTACTGTCCGATAGCCCGGGGCTAGTGGATTTTGCTATCGGGCTAGTGAATTCTGTTTTTAACTTGCCCAAAGGGCAAGTGAGGTTTTTTGAGGAATTTGAATAACAGAAGAACTGTGCGGGAAATCAATTTTGCTAGTCAAAACTTTTTTGGGGCTAGTTGAAATGACATCTGGGCTAGTAACTGCTAGCTTCAGCTTGCCCGAATGGCAGGCTGTAAAAATGATTTTCTTTCCACCCTAGAGAGGAATACCAGAGTACCCGGAGATACACCTCTCTGAGCAAGGAAGAAAACCAACAATAAACTTGACGCATATAATATGGCATCGATGCTGCGATTTGAGCCTGGGCCACATTAGTGGGAGGTAAATTCTCTCACCTCTGTGCCATCCCTTGCTCCCTTAAAATGAATGATTTTAATTTTTTTACCTTTGTCGAGCATCATTCAATTTTCAAAAGCTACTCTGATTAATTTGTCTATTATCACAATTACATTGCAGCTGTAAAGATCCAATTTAGTGCCTGCAGTGCTTATTATTTTTATCGAAAGGGCTTAAGGAAGCTTGAATGACAGGAATGTTTTTACCTCCTTCACCAACAACTAACTGAATCATCATCACAAAATTTAAAGAAGTGATTATCAATCCAATAGAATTGACCTGCTCTTTAGAAGGAAGATGGACTGACCACTTACTCAGAATTCTGTACACTGGTGACCTGTATCCTTCCCTTGTGTCCCAGAAACTAAAAAGATGTTAAAAAGGGTCACTATATATTAAAATCTACTTGAAAGAGTACTGTAACACTCACTAAATATTTCCAGCTTGTGTAGTGCTTTTTATATGGCAACATTTGATTCAAGTTTCCTTATGAATGACCCTCATAGTTTAATGCTAATTTATAAAATGCAATAATCAAAATGAACATTACTTTTAAAATAATGTAAGATTGTTCAGTGTATAAAACTTAAACCTTGTACACGATGTCACCATTGTGACAAAAATATTTTGTACCTGACAGCCGTATCAGAGGATGTTGTCCAAAAGCAATGCTGGTTCGTTCGACAAAAGTTCAAACCTGTTATCCTTCCATTATGAGCTGTGAAAAACAAACAATGAAAGTCTCTTCAACCAATCACTTGCTCTGAGTCTGCATAATATTTTAATGTGTATTATAAGATTACAGGAGTTTATCAGAAATTGCATTCCCTTTTTCTATCAAAAACCGTAAACAAACCTTATGATTTCATGATTAGTGGACAAACTATTATGTTTTTCTTTTTCACTTGCACTGAGTCTAAAAAGAATGAATTTGTAACTTACTAGCCATTTGAATAACCTAAACATATGTGTACAAACTCAAAGCTTCATAGGCTTCCTTTTCACATTTCCTATCTAAAGATCTGCAAGTTTCTATTAATACAATTTAAGTATCATATGTGATAGGCACATGATCAGAAAACTGAAATATTTTGTTGGTTTTGTAGTTGTGTAATCACTTGAGGACAGTGATGAAGCACACAATCATCAATTCTGTATCATGGAACACTTAACAGTAGTGGTCACCACATTGGACTCACAAGCAGGAGTTGGAGGATCTGAATTCCATTCTGACTGCTAGTAAAATTTGTTTGTCCATCACCCCATGTTTAACTTCTCAGTCATGCTTGTAAAAAGCTAACTGGTTGCCTTCTGCTTGCGGTTTTTAATCCTGTTATCTTCTGTTTGGACTATTATTATTATCATTATTATTATTTTGTTTCTAATTATTGAGTGGAGTACCTGTGAAAAAACTTGCTGGGTAAAAGGCGAGACATCGGTCGATATAGCGGCCGACATAGCGGGGATTACTCTATGAAGCGAACCTAAGGACATGGTAACCGTTTTTTTTTTCCAGTTTGTATCATCACCGATCGTCTTATTTTTAGCTGTTAAACAGAAACTGTCTCAGCCTAAGTTGAATCTGCTGCTCCTTTGGTCCCGCAGTCGAAGAATACTTAAAGAACGACGAGTGAAACGACTGCTCCCGCAGTCCCGAAGTGGAAGAATAATGAATAGGAAAAGGCAGTTGATGACATGCTTTAAGTGCGAGGAATACACATCTTTTATTATCGGGCTTTGACCTGCTTCATCACGCCAAGTTCTCGTTTGTGCAGAGACCACAAATGAAACTTATATATTTCTGCATTGAAGACGGGAACAGTCCTTTGTTTAACGATCACTTATTGATAAAACGCGCTGATAATGCGCCGAGGAAGGTGACAAGATATCCAGCAGACTGAACACATTCATTTATTGTGGGAATGATTTCAACTTACAGTAAGGAAAATACTCATACGTTCTCATTACATTCTCCTGTCCTTTTGCTCTGTCCTTTCGCTTTATATTTATATTGTGTTCAAAATAAAGACGACCATGCGTATACCGAAATTAATACTGACTGGTAAGCCACTTTTGGTCAGCCAATAAAAGGAAAACAGTATGCGCCGCGTTAACATTAATATTATCTTAACTCGTTAAGGAAAAACAAGTTTAACAAAATGAACTGTAAATAAAATTTTTCATCAATGTAGTTCTGAGTCGGTTGAAAAATTCTCGGCATAGGAAAAATTTGCCAGATGTAGGCCTTACACGGTGGGAATAAATCACATAACAAGAAGCTGAAGGCCTATCATTCTCACTTAGCGGACTTCGTCATGATTCAATTTTAGCCGGCTACGCGTAGCGAGACACTCCCACCCCTAAAATAAAAATAAAAGAGGGGAGGAAACGTCTGCGAAAAGGTGGTGGGCATCGATACAGATAGGCTCAATCCCGTTCACATGAATTAAAAGAAAAGGCTAGATACGAAAAGGCTAAGTGCTCTTCCACAAAGTATTTCCCATTTGAATGCAGCATTCCTTCTACAGGTTTTATTTCAATACAGTGAAACCTGTATTAAGCGGACACCCACGGGGAATGCTGTAGTGTCCGCTTAATACAGGGTGTCCGCCTAATACAGGTTTCGATAGATAGCATCATATGAGATGTCAAATGCCATTCAAATGAACAGTGGAAATGTTAAGAATACTCCCAGAGACTTTGACGATATATGTTTGCATTAATTTCTTTATCAAAGTGGACCAATTGGTCATAGTACCATAAACATAGATTGCAACTCAAATTTGAAGAAATCAGATGAGTGAAACAAGCTTTATACAAACAAAACGAAATAGAAAACAATACTGTACTGTGAAACTAATCAAATAAGTTCGTCAAGTCACGTTTTTTAATGTAAAAATCGAAAAAGTTGTGGGTAGCAATTCGAGATAATCTTTCGCATTTCCAGTGTCTGGCATGTTGGGTAGTGAAATTTGATTACAAGTGTCCATTTAATACAGGTTGGCAACAATAGAAATGACTATTTCGGGTACTTTTTAGGTGTCCGCATCTGCTTAATAGAGGTGTCCGCTTAATAAAGGTTTCATTTAAAGTAAATAAGGGAAATAAATTTCGGGACTTTGGCTACTGTCCGCTTAATACGGTGTCCGCTTAATACAGGTTTCACTGTAATAGTCTTTCTAAACATTGTGTACTACATGGTGTGCATAATTAAAAAATATATGCTGCCCAATTAAAAAGAAAAGTAAACTGATCCAACAAAGTAGTAAAATGACTTCATACAATACATTTAATAATTTATCTATTAACATCACAAACTCAAACACGTAATATTATCTATTTTCTGTAAATCTGGTACATTGGCTTGATCTGTTGGTGATTCTCTATTGTGCAAGAAGTTAATTTTTGTACCTAACATTAACTGCTGAACAAAATAATTTTCTGACTAGCCTTTTTTATCTCATAACATTCATTTACCTTGGAAATCTCCACAGTAGAGTAATGTGTCTATTTGGAAGAGTTTTATTGAGCCCTGTGGACCTAAACAAAGTCAAAAGTGTTCCGTTCATAAATATAAGCACTGTTATAACTGATATTCAGTAAACATTGTTATTTTCCATGTTAATGCAACAAGTTAGTGTCCACATATTTACTCCATTAAGTTGATATAAACACTGCCACTAACCTCCTACTGCAAACACATCTCGTTTTGGGCTGAAAGGCAATGAAGGATGATGATACACAGCATTAATTTTTATTTACTGTTAATAATGAACATGATTAATTGTGGCATTTTTGCCGCTAAAGGGGGAAATCAGAGAAATATTGTTAAAACTTCAGACTGTTGTTTCAAAAGCAAACATTAGTAGTTGTACTTCTCATTGTATGTTATATTAATATACAAAATATCTATATGTTTAGCCTGTCCTGATGTGACAGTTTCTTGCTTGTTGGGCAAATCACTGACACAAAAAAGATAGACACAAATAGATAGCTTACATATACTTACGAGTAAATTTGGTTCACTTAGTTCTGCCCTCACCTGGCCATTTCATGGTGAATTAGAGCAGTTCTTTGATGCCATGGAGATTTGAGAGTTCAGACTACACATAGTCACCTGCATTACTTCGCTTTATGTAGGAAAACAACACCGAACAAACAAGAAGCCACAAAACCATGTAAAATGGCCATGAATTGAGCCCAGGTCACACAGAAAAAAACAACAATATACGCAAGTTTACGTAAGTACAATTTATTGTTCTATATTGTACTATAGTACATATTTCTGTTGAATATTTGTGTTGAATTTCTCATACAAAGTCTAAAAATAATTCGTAATATGCAAAACAGTGTTGAAACTTGCGGTGATTTTCTTTATGCACCGAGCTTGGGCTGCCTGTGCAGTAATCCTTACTTGCATGAAGAAACGAAATATTTCTGCAGCATTCTGGTGCTTGTAGAGTGGAACCCCACCTTACAGCCACCTTAGTAATACGGTCACCTTGTTATTACAGCCACTTTTTTTGGCTGCCCAACAAAAACAACCATATATTTTCTTGTACAGAAACCCTCACTAATACGGTCACCTTGTTATTACAGCATATAGATACTGGATCATTGCACATGAAGTGTTACAGTTATAAAGAATTAAGGTAGATGGGAAAGGGGGAAAAAGGGAGGGGGGCTTAATAAATTTCTTCACCTGAAAAGGGGGAGGAGTTATGGTACTTGCATTGGAATTTGTCGTACATCTGTAAACCTATCACATTAAATTATGTTACATTGAAGCTTACTTAGGCCACTTATTTTATTTTTTTATTTTATTAGTTTCGCCAGTTATTGGCAGGGCCACCGCAACAGCATGAAGCCAATTACTGCGGGCCCATAACAGTCCCTCACCACCACACCGGGGACTACGTCCACTACTCTTTATGAACAGTGTGTGGGTTCTTTAACGTCCCACAGAATTTATATATGCAAGGGTTGTGAGACGGGGCCTACGGTTTATCGTCCTTATCCAAGAAGACTAGAAAGTCTAACCATTTGCAGATGTCTTTACAAAGGCAGCACTTTCTCCTCAGTTATTTAAAGACCCTGGGTGTTGGTCCGGCTGGGACTTGAACCAGCGGCCTCCCGCTCGACAGACCGGTGGTTATCCAACTGAGCTAACCGGGCAGCGGTAAAAGGCATGACTACCTAATTAAATAATTATGTCCATTTAAAAATGCTATTTAGGACGGTTTGGCTCCATCAGTGATCCTGAAAAGTCAGACTCGTACCCAGTCGCTATTTAAGTGTTTTTTGGGATGAGAGAAGATTGGGGATTAAGTTGAGGCGCACGCGGGGTCTCATGGGAAGGGAAGAAGGAAAAATAGCTATTTTTCCTTCTTCCCTTCCCATGAGACCCCACGTGCACCTTAACCTAATCCCCAATCTTCTCTCATCCCAAAAAACACTTAAATAGCGACTGGGTACGAGTCTGCTGAAAAGTGAACTGCAAATGTGGCTCAACAAAATAACACATGAAATGAGATTTCAAATAACACATGACATTGCGTCGTCAATGACGTCGCAAAACATGTTTTCCTCAACGGGGAAGGGTTGTAAACTGTAATCTTAGGAATTTTCACCACCAAATGTTACATAAACAGTGTACGTCACAAATGATTGGAAGTGACTGGAAATGTTTTTCATCCTATTATCTATTTAACTAATTAACAAGTCAGGTGACCAGGGCTGTCACTAAGAGCTGGGGGCCGGGGATTTCCCCCAGCTACTAAGGGTGTGGCCCCTGGCTACTTTTATTGGAAAATAGAAGAAAAATAGAACCTAAAGAAATCCCTAGCTGATTGATTCCCCGCCTACTTATTGCATTTACCCAGCAACTTGAATTGTTACTCATGACAACCCTGCATGTGACCCCTTTCCCATTATTTACCAATTCCTATATAACGTAAACATACATGGCAGTTATTCAGAACCTTTTTAATAGACTCTCAAATGTAGCTAATGTTACCAAAAGGAACTTGTTGCTCTTTCATTATCCCTTCTCCTTTTAAGACTAAATATTTTGACCGTTAATTCTCAATCATCAGTCATGTGACAATTAATTTGTCCTTCTACAGGGTTGTCAAAAGTAGCCGGCTGCCGGCCAAAATCACCACCTACTTGGTTAGTATTTGCCATCTACTCTGCTTGGCATTTCTTTACGGATGGTGTTTTTTAAATAAAATATCTCTGGACTGCCGCTTACTTTGACACTCAGCTGTCTACTTCAAAACTTTCTGACAACTCTGCTTCTAAAAATATGTCTCATATTGCTAAAGCCATTTGGCTGCATTTGTACTTCAGTTTTCAGGATCATTGATAGAAGCAAACCGTTCTAAATAGTATTTTATCAAAATATGCATATTTACTTAGATAGTCATGCCTTGAGTGGCCTTAAGCTGATATTGAACTCAGCTGCCAAAAACCAGCAAAAACAACCATTTTACTACACCTGATTGAGAGATGGGTAATGTACCACAGATCTTCCTCTTTAGCTTCTTGCGTTATTTTAAGATGGTAACGAAGGTCAAAACCACCAGAAAAAAGTGAATTATGTGAATCTAGGCTGACCATTTTGTAATTTTGACAGTTATTCAAAAAGCAGTCTAGAGGTTGTCTAGAGGCCGCCATGTTGGTTAGAAAGAAATCTGGGACTGAGTGATCTCCAGTCCTGCGCGGTTGAAATTTTGTTGTTGCTGCAGCAATGACGCAGAACGTAAGGTAGTTGCAAAACATTTCAGGTAAGCTTATTAATGTACCTTTCCTTCTATCGATTCACAGAAAAAAAGTTAAAATCAAAATTTTCTTTTCCTAAGAGCTGCAATTTTCGACACAATGTGGCTGCTAGTGCAATACAAGTCTTACTTATCCCAATTTCAATGATGCCGCAGATGGCGACATATTCGGGCCGGCCAGATAGGTCAAACAATAACTTTGTCAACGTAACTCATTATTTGTATGGCCTTTTAGACTGATTTATTGTTTCTCTAGGTAAAAAATCTTTACATTCTCCTGATTTCTTCGCTGCACTTTGATAGAAAGAGCTAGAAATCGAAAGAAATAACTCCATCCTTGCTAAGATGGCGTGACGAAAGTCCGCCTGGTTCCAATGCACATCCTGAGTTAATTGTGTATTTTATTGTCGAGTTATAGTTACTCGTGACACAGAAACAGCTAATCCGTTTAATTCACTTTTAGTTTAGTTATCTGGAATTTGGAACTAGTAATTTGAGCATCATTCACGTGCGGCGTTGTTTATAAATAATTATTTAAAGAGCCGTATTTCCAATTATCCGGCCAGAATTCCACCTGCAGTGGATATTTAATGTCGTATGCGTAATCGATAACCGGTCAAGTCGCCTGAAAGTCATCTCACTCAAAGTCATGTCACCTGAAACGAGTGTCAAGTCGCCCGAAATACTGAGTCATGTCACCCAAATTTCACTTATGTCCAGGATTGACCGCAGTCACAAAAATTTGCTAGCAAATCTGGAATGTTTCGCAATTTTGGCAAAAACGATTTAAAGGAAACTGCTGTCAGAACTGTATAGAAGAAATAGCAAATATAGCATTTTTGACGCAATTTTAGCAAAAACATTCTTTATAGAAATTGCTTGCGGTTATCTAAAGACGTCTGCAAAATCGCAAAAGTAAAGGAAAGAAAGAAAAAGAAAGAAAAAAGTTTAGTCTTCTCTTGTTTTACGTCCTCCATAAATTGAACGAGAACCACGTCGTAGTCGTGCAGTGACAGTAAAGAAATGTATCAACAAAAGTCAACTCTGGGACCTTAATACGAGTTTAGGCGAGTTAAGGCGAGATAAAGAAGTTTGAACATAATCCAGAGCTGCAGATTAGGCCTACAAAAGAGCGTGATGTACGATTGCTTTTTTGACGTTCTCGTTGCTGTCGCCGTCGTGGCATCTTAAACTCCCTGATTTTCCGAGCTCGGCCACTGACTCTAGCTGCAGAGGTACGTGCCTAATAATGGGGACAAACTCATAACACGAAACTCTCAACCTTGGAACTCTCATAGGCTGTTTACATCTTGCATCTGACCCATGAAAAGGAACGCTTCGGGATAGTGATTTTGAGCAGGCTTGGGATAGTGATTTTGAAAAGCAAGATCTTCAGTTATCGATGAATGTGACCAAGGTCTTGGTTTCCTTCAAAACCCCACCTAAATAAAAACGAAGTCAAATCCCCCCCAGTTCAAAAATCACTTGAGAAAAAATAACCTAACAAGATGATTCAGCTCTTTTTTATCGATGAATGTGACCTAACTATAGGTCTTGGTTAAAAATCGGTCACTAAGTCATGAAAACCCCATGGTTGGGAACCAGAATGTTTCAAAATAACTGAAAACGTTTGAGCACTCTGGTTAAAAGCGGCATTAGCTGACAAAAAGGACAAAAATCGCAAATCACGCACACCTTCTTTCCTGTGTGTTTAATTTTTTCCCTCATTCTCTCGCCATTCTTGTCGATTTTTCCTTGTTTTTTCCCTTGTTGTTGAGTTTTCCATGCTGCAGTCCTTTGAAAATGCTGTGAACTTGGACGTGGGAAGTCGCCAGTGCAATCAACTCTTTCTGAGATGGACACCTTTAGGACTGGGACAGTCCCTGGGCCTTATTAGGGAGTTTTTGCATCGACAGCGGCAACGGCAGCGAAAACGTCACTTTTAAAAAGAATTAGCCTTAATTAGCGTTTTTTCAGACTTTGTCGTGCTTATTCCAATTCGCTGAAAATGTCTAAAGTAGGCAAACTTCCCTGGCCTTGATTTCATGAGGACCGCATTCAAGTTTAAAAAGAGGAAGAAAATTTCGTCGTCACTTGTTTACGTTCTTCACAAAACTTGAAATTAGGCATTTTCACGTCCAAGTCGTGCAGTAACGGCAAAGAAGTGTACAAACAGGCATGATGCACGTGCAAACTAGTTGTCTTGCCCAATAAACCTATTGCTTTTTTTGACGTTCTCTGTGCCGTTCGACGTTCCCGTCGTCGTTGCTAAACTCCCTATTAATGCGCGCGACGGATGCGTTTCGGGTCACGTGGTCTGAGCGAATAACAGCCGTTTGTCTCGGATGCGTCACCGAAATGCATTGAACGAGAAGGCCTGGGAACACACCGTGCAGGGGCTAGGTTTAAGGGCTAGGCAAATGCAAACATTTGTTGATCAGCAAGTGTTGAAGCGTGTGACAGCGGTTTTAATGCAAAGTTAAAACTGGTTAAATCATAGCTGGGTGGTTTTGGGTAAGAATGGATAAGTAATCATCTTTTTTATTATTTTATTTCAATACAGTCGCGCCACGATTGGTCTTATTTGATTTTGTAACATGGCGGTCAACCCGTGGTTCAGGCTGCTGGTCTACGGCATGCTCGGATTTTCATACGAAATTATATTTACTTCGCTGTGGGACTTTGTAGCGTCAGATTTTACCAACTTCAAATTTGTTGGCTACTCTTCTATCTGGTCCTTCTTTATTTATGGAACGTGCAGCTTTTGTGGAGAGCAAGTCTACCTACGCACAAGAAAACGCTTATCGACTCTCTTACGAGGTCTTATCTACGTTCAAATGGCGTACACGTGGGAATTTATTGGTGGCCTCATTTTGAATCAATTTTCCGCGCGTACCTGGGACTACACTCACTACAAGTATGACGTAATGGGGTTGATCGCGTTGGAGTATGCACCCTTATGGTTTTGCAGCGGTCTTCTCCAAGAATATTTCTACGAATATTTGACTCAGTCACTGCAGTTGTCAGCCAATAATAATGTAGAGTCAAAAGAGGGGACACTGAACCTTAAAAGCAATAATTGTAACTCTAAGGTCGATTGACATGCAACAGACGAAGCGTGAAATCACTCTAAGGCTTTTGACGTAACGAACGGCGTAACTTCTTCAAATGGTATCTTATATGGTAATTATCAGGGGTCCCCTACCAATTTTAATTCTCACTTTAGTTTGTGAATTTTTCCACGGGTTTCTTCTCTCTTCCCACAGTTGTTAATTCCTTTGGAACTTGCTATTTAATTATCCCCTGGGGCAACATTTTTCTTATCTCTCTACTGTTGATCATGACAGTGTCTTTCTTTTTTTTTTTTCAGAGTTCGTTGTAAGACTTGAGTGTCCACACTGATTTGCTTGTCGGCAGCCTCCTTTTTCGTTTCGACAAAAATAAATATCGATTTATCCGTCTTGTGTCGTTTATGACCTTTCATACAAAGCTATCGAAAACGCGTATTAGGCGATAAGTTTTCGTTCCAAAGTACTATATTCTTGTCTTTTCCCGTCACTTGATAACGTTCGCCTTGTTTTGCCGGTCTATACATACGCGGTGGACCTTCGTTTTCCAGTCCCCACTTTCGAGACTGTTTTCAAAAACCTTCGTGTCGTGGAAGGCCCTCTCTGTTTTATCGCAGTTTTATGGACATAAGGCCAAAATCCATTAAAATGTATGCGTTTCCAAACCAAATCGCATCAGTGTGGTGGGGTCTTACACCAGCAAGGTTTTTCCATAATTTTGTCATTACTCTATTTTGATTGCGGTTATTGGGAACTTCACTCAGGCCAATATTTCGAGTAGTTCGTGAGAATGTGTTAAAGAAATTTTGCAGTTAATTTTCCGTATTTTTGTCACTACTCTAGAAGCATTTTCTCAAAAACTTTCTGTAGTTGTTTTGCCAATCAGAACTGACCGTTTATGTTAGTTTCATTGCTTCCCTGAAAATGTAATTGACAAAGCATCGTAATGGAAAAGCACAATCAAACCATTTTTTAATACGTATTCATCAATAAAGCGTGTTATTTATAGCTTCTCAGTGGATATTTAAATATTTTTATGCGAATTCACAACTTGGCTGGTAGCATTTTTCACCGGGATTTTGAACCGGTGTTGTTAATTCAGTTTATTTATTTATTCATTTATGTATTGTTTGATATATTTTTCAGTGTATTGCTCTATTTATTGATTCATGTATTAAATTAGATAATAGCTAGAGAGCTGGTCCTTCAGTGTTACTTGCCCATTTTCCTTCCTGTGAAGTGCCCATTTTGAGGAACTGAGAGTTCAGCCATTGCTATTTGTTCTTCTTCTCACTTCTCCCCCTTTCTTCTTGTGCCTTTTTTTCTGCTTGTTTTTTGTTTTGTTTTGTTTTTTACAACCAAGCAAAATTACCCTTAGGACAACTGAAGTTGTCATCCATTTTTTTAAAGGACATTTACCACAGAATTGACTTTTAAGATTACCGTGGTAACGGCATTGATATCTCGTTAACAAATCGGTAACTTTGCATTTAACGCTGTTTTTATTTAATGAGACTGTTTTAGCTTGAAATGTAGTAGAAGTCCACAGGTTTTATAACCCTTTCACGCGTTTGAGTGAACAAAGGCGCCAACGCGAAGGGTAGGTTGTAAAAAATCAGGGTTTTAATAAATTTCACACCCAAGTCTTGACCTCTGCGTGTGCTCACTACAGGGAGTGCAGGCGACAACGATCGGACGTCAAAACGCTTTTACTCCATCGCTGTGCTTTGCGTAAGTTTCACGTGACAGATAGTCAAGACACGCGTGATCAGATTACGAGTGACGCGCGTGATCAAAATGCGTTCTGTGCACTCCATTCATTCTTAGTGGAAGTCCAAATGAATGGTGGCTGCATTCATGCGACGCATGTGCAATAACAACCTGGCCCGGGTTGCTCTTAGCATGGTTAGTGCTAACCAGCGTTAAAGGGCAATTTTAATCTACGGGCAATTTTTTGCCAGGGGGAGCGGTAATCCATTTGCCCAAAAAATTCTTGCAAGTTGGCCAAATTTTTACAAAACAGTCGAGAGGAAACTAGGGCCATGCAACAAAATAGGCCGTACTGGCATATGAAAGTGGCTCGATACAGTTTTTCAGAGTCAATACCTGCCAAGTTTGAGCATAAACTACGTCGCCACAAACAAGCATTTGGAAAAAATTGCCACCACAGTTGTATTAGATAAAGAGGGAAATTTGTCACGATCAGGATTGCAATGACATCGGAGCTGTCATAGCAACGAAATGACGCCACTACCTATTATGCTTGCAGCAATATTTCTCACTGGGAACTGTTCTTACAAAATCGTTCAGGGGAGCTCTTTCCTCCAATAGTCGCCTCGATGTTCGTGAAGTTAAAACGGAACTGTAAAAGCGTTATCGAGATATTTTGGGATGAAGTTTTTATCGTTAAAAATAAGGTAAAAAAGGAAAATCTTGATGTTTAGTCGTAGTCTGAAGAAAACGGAGCGCTTTTGACATGCAATTTCACCTCACAGTAGTTTCAATCTTATTAAAAACATGTATGAAAGATCATGGAGATAGCTCCTGCCAATTGCTATAAGGAAGGATCTGATTAGCGCTCGATCTTGTTAGGGGTTTCGTAAACATTTCGGTCTACTTAAACAAATTAGTGAATAATTTTTAAACCTCTCGATAGATTTTTTAAAGAAAATTATGATTCTTCTCGTAATTCAAACTGAGAATTAGTCAGCCACTTCACTTTCAGACCCATTGCTGATGTATGTTCTGCCACACACTGTTCTAGGAGCGGAGGTGATTCTAGAAAGTTATGCGGAAGTTTATTCTAATCAATTCATGATTGGAAATAGCCCACTCCAGCTAGTACAGTGAAGTACAGTGCCCAACAAAAAAAAAAATCAGCATATGATACCCTTCCCTTATCACAAGAAACTCATCACGTGCTAGGCAACCACTGACTCGTGTGAACGTAACTGAATTATTACGCCGACTTCTGGTTAAAATAGAAAATATTTGTCTCTTCAAAATAATAATAATAATAAAAAACATGGAAACGTCTTTAAAAACTGGCTTTACCCAAATTTTCTCTTGCTGCCCAAAAAATCTGAGTTGCCCAAACTTTGGGGGGCTGCAGCCCCCCTCGTCCCCCCGGCCCGTACGCCTATGCTAAAGTCTACAATATCAGTACATGTCGAATGAAAGCCATTAAACTGTCCATGTTCTATCCGTCTGAAGCAGACGGATAAAACGTATTGGACGATCTAAACTCATTCAGACGAACCTAACTGAGCCAGACGTCAAACTTTTCAAGTTTGTTTCGTCTCATGAAAAATCGACTTTTGGCCTAGGCCTAAAACCTCGTGTTAAGTAACAGACAAATACGCATGCAATGAATCTCAAAATTCACGGGAACACCACACCACTATTTCCTTCTTTAGGTCAGCAATGGTCTGAAATGTCATACGTCTCCACACTCTAATCTCTGGGGGGGAGAGTCTCTCTGTCCCCCTCGCCCCCTATGGGCCAGTGGGTGGAGACGTATGACAGTTCAGTTTAGGATAGCAGCTGTTCTCTCTCCCAACCTCTTTTTCCAGCGGTGACGTGACTAAGAATTTTAAAGTATAACTTTGACTAAGCGGGGGTGAGGCAATCATAACCGTAAAACTTGAAAAAAAAATAGCAAAACGGAATAAAAGGTGTGCGTTGATAACTCTTCAGTGAAGGAACAAATGAAATATGTTTGCGACTGCAGCTGTAAAAATACCCTCACGTCTAAACTTCGCATAGCGATAAAATAGTAACAAGAAAACGTAACACCCATTTTGTAATGGCTATAGCCTGGTAAATCAATCGTCAACTTTAACTTTAACAAAGAGGCCGCGGGATGGAGCTCATTTTTACTTAATTTGTAACACTTCACAGTTGATAGATCCACAGGAAATCCGTTTTCTTTTTCTCGAACAATTAACCTTGGACTCTTTTACTGTAATTAATGCTAATTAAAATGCTCACATACTGTGTATATACCGCAAGTTCTTTAAAAATGCCACTAAAAATAACATATTCCTGCTTTCCTTAAGCAATATTCAAGAAAATTTCCTGCGTTTCAAACATTCACATGTTGAAAGACTAGCCAAGCCCACATCAAACAATGTGGAAGGAGCCGGTGACGATCGACAGGTTCTCCGTCTCCTTTTCAACGTAGGAGCTTGGGAGCGAGTCTATAGAAACGACATGCGATTGACTTTTCCTGTGAAACTGATGTTTCTTTTATTAATCATTTATTTCGGAGATCTGCACTGTCAAACACTTTATTGCAAGTCAACATCATGATAGTGACTGTTATGGGGTAACATGCCCACAAACCAGCAGAAATGGCCTCTTTTTTGCCGATATTTCTCTGGAGCAATCTAAGAGCTTAGCAGGATTGCAACAGTCTAATGACCTCAGATTTAAGATAGTGGAGAAATCTAGAAATCAGGGCCCCGCCGCTAAAAGGCCGACTGACTAGGGCTGATCCTGGATTAAAATCTTAATCTACCATGTATTTACCTTCGTATGAATACTTTTAAAGGATTTTTTTGTTTTTCAAACCCGGACCTCGAAGTAAACGTTCCTCGATAGCTATTTCTTTTTTACCTCCACTTAAATGTTGCTAGACGAGAGACCTTTCCTTAAAAATTGGCTTAGTGCCGCCTGAGTTAAACTTAACCGAAAAACGGGTCCTATTATACACGCACGGCAGTCTCACGGACATGTGAATTATTATAATTTAGTGGAACCTCAGTTCGTCCCCCTTGTAAACACAAATAGGCTAAGCTTGAAGAAATACCCGAAAGGGTACTAGACCAGTATTTGGGTATAGGTGAGCTGCTGAAGATTTGAAACCCTGACCCTGTATTGGAGAAAAAAAAACTCTAAAATACATACCTTGTTTAGGACAACACCCTCAATGTTATTACCCTGTTTAGGACAAAGGACAAAATGCACGCCGCGTTGTTTTTAAAGCTATAAATAGCGCTGAAACCTCTTTGACAGACACAAAACGACACCAGGTCTCGTTACTCGAGTCTTCTTTGTAAGGTTTTTTAAGAGTTTACAGGTATCACCCGTACAAAATCTTATATTACACTTGGATCCCCTGCGGAATCATAAGTACCGAACGGCCCTGAATTTGGTGTATGAATCAAGGCAAAGCCTACTAGAATTTGATCACTTTTGAACTGTGCTAATTAATCTCATAGTGTTATTTTCATTATAACAAGAAGAAGGCATAGTAATACACGTACATACATTCAAGGTAGAGTAATAGAGCCATTGTTTATATTTTCTATTCATCAATAGACTACTAGTAGCCCCCCATTTTTCCTCAGGGATAGTAGAGCGAGCGAAACGCGAGCGCGTGAAAATCACCCCACGCGAGAAAAGGCGGCACGCCCATAGGAGAACCGAACAGACTACTCTCCGCCAGTCACGCTAATTTAGGAATTCATTAACTTCTCCAGTGGATTGAAGCATAAAACTGAAATTGCCACGTCCTTGTAAAAACAGCTACAAAACTAAACAATTAACCCGGTCATTCTTTAAAACACGGATGATTTCAGTTTTATTTGCACTGGTAACCTTGTAACTGACTCCACCGAACGGATCAAGGGATGGAAAAAATCAACTTTAATTATTTGTTTTACAATGTGACCTATTATCAAGTCCATCTCTAATCCTATGCCCCTCTGTTTAGATTTTTTGCGTGTTTCGTAGTTAGTCAAACATGGTTCATGGTTATGAACATAACATTAATGAATATAATCGGAGTGAAATTTGAAGTGATGAATAGAAAAAATTAATGTCAGCTTAAAAATTTAGGGCGAGCTAAAAGAATGCGAGTGAATTTAACAAGACAGTGGAAATAGTGCACAGCAGTGAAGAAAAGATAAGAGCCTGTAAACTTTCCCGAAGACTGATCTCCTAACATATTTGTCAACTTAGACCTTTAGTTTAAAACACGCAGAATAACTTCTCAGGTTTAGAGGCTTTTCCACTCGACTGCTTTTATTGTCTTTACCCCTCTTGTCGGTTAGACCACAAAGTCAGATTTCATCGAGTTCTCGTATTGATGATGTAAGTTGGTATATCGGGCACGTATAACATTACAGTCAATTGCATCTTCGGTGTTTGTTTAACCTAGACTGTCGACAGCTATTGAAATTAACGTAACGATTCTGGCTTGGTTCAGGGGTTTTGGAAGTCCCCTTGAAAAGTGCACTCCTTGGTAAAGCAAGAATGCTAAACACATTAGACGAGAATGAATCGTCAGAGTCAACAGTGTATTTCAAGAAGTTTACCATTGCTGTGTTTGGCGATTCTGGAGTTGGAAAAAGTTCAATTGTTCGACGGCTTCTCGTTAGCGATGACTACAATGCCGAGCATGAACCAACGGTAGAGGAATTCTACGTGAAACAAATGACTCACAGGAACAAAGCTTACGAGCTTCACATCATTGATACATCGGGTACGTACGAGTTTCCAGCCATGCGAAGGATAGCGATTGAAAAAGCTGATGCTGTTGTATTGGTGTATTCTCTAGACAAACCTCACTCTTTTACGAAGCTGGAAAGATACATGGAGGAAATTACGAGGTGTTGTGAGGACAGAAACCGGAAAATACCGGTCATCATTGTGTCGAACAAATCAGATCTACCGAATCTCTCGGAACCAACGTTTTATAATTCGTATGGGCTTAAAATTAGTGCCTGTGTTTATCTAGAGGGAAGGTGGAAATGTTTGTGGCTCGCTACGTCGGCTAAGTTTAATCTCAATGTTGACACGATATTTCATAAACTCTTGGATAAGTTGAGCCCCGAGAAGTCTCTTCCGAGGAAGAAAGCCAGTTTTATGAAGCAGATATTGCGCTAAATTTCAGCCATGTTGATAAGACTTGAGTTTAAACTCGACACAATCCTTGATGGACAGTACTATGCCGAGCCAGCTGTGTGCAGATTCACAGGGAAATCGTTGACTTTTTGAGGTTGGGTATAATCACTCTGTTATAATAATAGCCTGTTCCAAGCGTTCAGATAGTGAAGAGCGGTGCGGAGTTAAGAAAGCGATGAAAAGTACCTCTCCTCCTCCCCCGCTTTTATTTTTTCGCGCTCCTTTTTACTTCGCACCGCTCCCCACTATCTGAACGCCTGGAACAGGCTATTATAATAATTACCACCGGTTCATCAAGAAGTGTATAACTGCCTTAATGACCCCTTTTTAAATTCAATTAACAGAGATTTCATTGAATAAGTTATCATTGTGCGCTATATACAGTTAACGTACTTGATTAACCGATAGACTCTGTCGAAGATATACAACCTAGCGATGCTTTTCAGTGTACCGAAATATATTGTGGTTTGAGTGTAGCTATATAGAGTTCAACTACGGATACTTTGCAAAAACCTTCGAAATCCAATGAATTACCTAGTTTTGTCAGTAACTCAGACGGATAAGCGCCTTAAAATCTCTTAGAGGCTTAACCATCAAAGAGCCCGAAGACTGGAATCTCTACCTAGGAGTCAAATGCTACCAAAATGCTCGTAGAGCCGTATCAAAAATACTAAATTACGCCTTTCATAGTGGAGGGCATCCTGGCCACACCTGTACTTTTTAACAAACAAACAAACAACAACTTTTTTAAAAACAGTCTTTACTTCTCAAAAACTGTGAACTATCTCCGTATCCGTCAATGCTCTCGGGACATAAAGAGAAACAAGCAATGAGATCGGGGGTTTTATAAAACGGAAAGAAACTGACGGAATGTCCGTCACCAAAGGCTTACGTGCCGAAGGAGACACAACATTGAAACGCCTAACACTTCCAATCAAGATACGCATCCCTATGCTGAGAAAGGTATAGTGATTATTTGAAGGAATTTATACTTAAGAGCTTCCCACAATTGACGAGGTACCATGGCCATGTTAAGAATATTACACAGAGTGTCTTAGTTTGAAAGGCGATGATTCGCGTGCATTTTTGTAGATCTTTGTAGATATGCTAGACATGGCGAGATACCACACAACTACAAACAAACGATAAAACGATTATCGTTTAATTTAAAATTAGAAAGATGTATGGTTATCTCTCTAAGATAGTCCTAATAATCACATAAAAGGTGTGTGGCACTTGTCACGTATTTTTTAAAACTTTGCCAAAAGTTGTTGTGGGTTGCTGTCCAAAAATTCGATAACAAAAATTGCAATGGCTAAGCGCTCCTTTGGGTCCTTTGAATTATAAGCGTTCAAGATAAAATAAAGGAAGTATGTTACTTTTGTAAAATGTTAAGTAAAGGAAGTCATCATGATTGTTTTCGGTAATGATGTGGAAACCAATTAAATTTGTGGGTTTGGTCGCAATTATTTACCGAGTTCGAGGTCCGTACGGTAAGTCATACGGACCGAGATTAATTCCGCCCGGGTCAAGGTTCGTCAAGGTAACCATTAGTTTTAGTCATCAATCAAAAACATGACTTGATGAAACGAGCTAGTACCGACTATGGCTCCCGCGGAAAACTTTACTTTGGTACAACATTCAAAGGGCCGATTCAATTTCTATGACAAATAGTGAACGTCGCACAATTACGTTTGAAAAGAGGACAGGTTTAGTTTAATGAAAATGCTGAACAAATATTATATTTCATAACTTACATTTAACGTACACTGAACTTGTTCTCAACAAAATACCGTTCCGCAGGGATACAACGTTGGAGATATATTCTGTTACTTTAGTTATAAACATATATTGTAACTCATCTAAACTCAAAACTAAACCGAGTAGCCGTTGTGGATTCCGGAACCCAGTAAATTCCGGATTCTAATCGTTAACTGGATTCAGGAATCTTTGAGCTGGATTACGGATCTCACAATCCCGAATCGGAATGACCTTACATTAGTGCTGGCCCTGGTTGTTCAAAAGTTGGATAGCGCTATCCACCGGATAAATCACTATTTATTACGGAAAATATCGCTGTATATTTCCGTGGATTCCGGGGCCTGATCTTTAATTCATTTCGTTCGAGCAACAGTCAGTAAAGGAACTGCATGTACAATTCTTTGACGCAATCGTCTTTGAACTTTGGTACAAAGTTCACTTTAACAGTTTCTTCAAAGCCTTCTTCATAACTTGGCTCCTCATATGAAGATCTGTCAAAATGTGGTAGGGAAGAATACATTAATACAAGCGACAGATAAATAAATACGAATTTAACACCCAAATTGTCATTGCCTGGGAAACCTTGTTAGATGACGCTGAAATATGACGAAGGATGTAAAGCAAAAAAAAATCTTCTCCTGATTCAGGTGCACGAAATACGTGCTTTACATGTATCTGACACAGCAAAACCTTGCCATTTTAATACCCAAGCTAGATCAAGCACGTTTTGACACGTGGGTTATAGTTTGACTTCGAGCGCTAAGAAGTTTTTCTAGACAGTTGTTTGTTTATTTGTTCGCTTATTTAGTTAATTCTTCCATTTTCCCATTTATTCATTTATTTTATTATATTATTATCTCTTTATTATGTAGAAACTCTTGTTACTGAGATAACAGTACGTATACCTCCTGTAATCAGTTTTGCTAGGCTTATCATGATACAGTTGTGAATACATCATACTTATATTTAAGGTCCAAACCCAGGTATATATACTTTTCTTGTAGTAAACTACTATATAACTCCTTCACAAAAATTAAGTGCCTAATTTAGAACTTACCTAGCCTAAATTGCCAACAACTATTTTTTTTTATTTGCCCCTGAATCGAATTTCAAGCAGTGGGTTGAAAAAACAGGATTATATTTGAGTCATCTTTGCAAGAAATAGCTATCAGCAAAATCTTGATAACAACTGCAAAACATACGTCACTTTGTGGTCTTAACCAGTGGTTCCTTACGGCCAGGCCGTCGCGTTTTTAGATACAGGAACGAAAGAATGCTGCAAAAGTACGTGGTTACAGTGGTTGCTGGGCATAAAAAGGAAAATACAGTCAAAACCCGCTTTAAGGACACCTCATTAATACGGACAGTTTGCCATGTCCCTGGGGAAAGAAAGCCCTCACGTTTTCTCTAAATTCAACCTGCTTAATACGAACACCTAGTTAATACACACACTTTCCTTGGCCCCTCAGTTTCCGTATTAACGAGGTTTGACTGCAAATGTTTTCGTATAGTAACCCAAATCATTACAAGTGTTATTTCTTCTCCGATACTTCGGCCAAACCCACATTTACTTACTTATATTTCACAAACGCCAAGTGTCCAACATGCTTATACGTGCTGTCCTTGTTCGTTATTTCGCGAATCTATAAAAGATGACAACAAAAAAATAACGTTTCCTTAAGAGTGCTCACACTCAGCAATTATTCATGCAGTCAAAAGCCAAGAAATGACGACTATTTGGGTCAGGTGGATGAACCTTGATACCTAATGAAACACCAGATAAAACCGATGGTCAAAACGTCTTGTACCGGACACAGATAACGTAAAACAAAAGACCTCTTTGTTTCGTGTTCAGGGTAAAATCTGTTGGGCATTGTTTCATGGTTTTTGTTCTTTTGTTTCACGTCATCTGTGTGACGTAAATGAAGTAAAGTTAATGCCCATAAAACACCACCAGATTTTCATCTGCAATGAAACGTTTTTCTTAAGATCAAACACTTGCATTTGCATTTTTATTGTTTCATTTGAGATGACATGTCAAAAAATCGGGCTTCGTGCTTCATCACGGGTTCCAAACACCTCGAAAAAGACGAAAGCGTTCAGCCTCTGGCGTCGTGCTTTTATCCGTTTCTACGTGTTTGGACCCCGTGATGACGCACGAATCCATCGTTCTTGACATATTACATGAAAAAGTATAAATGTAAAATTATACCTTTCTGGGAAACTGCCCACCTACCCCTCCCCTAAGCTAATATTTTGCCCTAAGTGAGAAGTAAGTGTTTAATGTCGAACTAGGGAAGGGGCGGGTGGGCAGTTCCCAGAAACGTATAATGCTCCCAAAACTTATCAAATACCTGAGGGGGAAAAGTATGGGGAGAACAAGATGAATTATAGTAGTTAGTCAGTTACGTTATGTTGTTTAATTTCTGTACGGGCGTACCTTACATCCCGCTTCCAAGGTAAAGGTGTACTCCTGCATAGTGACGGTATATTTAGATGAGACCTCTTGGAAATGGTGGCATATTCAGGGAACCGTCCCCGCTTAAGAAGACACCCAACGATTGTTCATGTTCATGCAAAACAATATTCTCTATCAGTGCAGGATACCGTAAACACCCGTTGTTTAAAACTCCCTCGTGACCGTAAGTAAATGTCCTTAACAGCAAGAGTTTCCGCCTTTTCATATACATAGGGCCTACTAAGATATTCACTGACCTTATTGTTATGCAGAGCATGTTCAAAGGAAACGTCAAAAAGAAAACAGCGAGCGGGAACATTGGCTTGCTTGGCGCAATCAATGTACCTGAGCAAATAGAGCAATGAAGACTCGTCACATATAAAAGCAGTGTATTAAAGAACCGTCTGCTGTTCTTTCTCAAGGAAAAAATTAACAACTCTAGGTATTGAATAGAACGTTAAGATAAAACTACTTTTCAAAGTGACCTGTTGCCTACGACATCAAATTTCAGATCAGTGCTTTTGGCACCTCTCGAACCGGTTCCTGCCTCAAGTAAATAAATCACACTATCCAGTGGATAAATGTTAAAGGAGACTAATATTGCATTAGGCAGTGGCTAGTGATTTATCGGGAGGTAGCAGTATCCATCTTTTGAACAATATGGGCTTGGTGTTCAAAGTACTCGGACTTTCCTGTGGTACCTCTGGTATGACTGAAAAGACTTAGGACTAAAGCATCTCCACTTAACCCGTCTATGGAACAAGAACTGATAGGGAAACCAGTTAGTATTGTTTTCCCGACAGTCCCGTCTCGGGAAACATCAGACTCGGGAAAACAAAACTATCTGTTTCCCTTGCGACCTGACATTAAGTGTGTAATGTTCTTCTATACCTTTTCCTGACTTCCTTTGTTGGGCTGGTGTTGTCGACTACGACACTTTTGCCCCGTGACAATGCATCTTTACAGGCCGACACACATTTCTGCCATGTCCCCAGACTATCCTAAGGAAGTAAAAAAATGTAATCCTCCTTTACAGGGACCTCAAATTACGTATTTTCTACAATACATACATCTGCTAGTCAGCCCTACTATTTACCCACTTATTAAAAAAACAAGGGGGCTTGGCGTCTTGCTAGTTGTCAGCAGAGAGCCCAGGCCCAGACCTATAACAACCGTGGGTGGTTGCCTGGCGTTTTTGTGTCAAACGTAGGGGGGCAAAGAGGGGCGATTTTGTCACTTTGATTAGAGTTTAAAGTCAGAGAGCAGCGCAATAAGTCAAGGAATTTTTTTTGTGGCTGGCCCAGCCAAATCAATGCTGTGACTTATAATCATAACAGTACTAGCAGAGCTTGCTGGGAGTGCTTGACTAGTCATACGTGTCATGGGTGGGCAGGCCCTAGGATTTCAAATGCCATGGCAAACAATTTTTCAGTTTCGTGCCCAGAGATCATAGGAAACCATCTGCAACAATTTTTTGGTTTTGTGAAAATTCATGGGAACCCACCTCCCAATTTTTCGAAGTCTTATATTTTTTTTTCTTGGCACCGGAAGGCATAAGATGGCGGACAATGGAAAACTGATAGATGCTAAACAACATTTTAGTTTCTTATAATTGTAAGCCGAGTCACAACTAAAGAATTGCTCTACTGTTTAAGAATCTGATTGGAAAAATAGTGAATTTCTGAAAATTGATCCTTAAATGTCACTGGGGAACTATTTTTCACCTCCGTTATTTTAAGACCATGGTAACAACACAGTACCGGAAGCGATCGTTACCGTGAAATCCTAGGGCTTGGGTGGGGAGGGTGAGTTCTTGTTCCTTGGACTTGGCTGTCTGGAGACTAAGTACAGGCACCTTGTATCAAATCCAGACAGATATATATTTTTTTATTGTCTGGAATTGAAGGAAGGTAATATGATAAATTCATTTACCCGGTTAACATGTACATATCCTCTTGGTACAAGGTGTTCTTTAACGAAGGTTGATTTTCCAGCTGCAAATGAATGTAATCATAACTACTAACCAATAATTTCGACAACAGGTTTACAGCTTTGCCTGTCTAAAATGAACCAACATGACCATGGTTACCTCCGATAATCTTTTCTAATCATCACTTTAACATAACTGAGAGACTGACGAGGCTAGTACTAAGCTGAAGTTTAAAAAATGTAAAACCGACTGTTAAACAAGTAACACTTTATTCCTAACTTTTACAAGAAACGCTAACATCTATGTGTACAATACAGGAGCACAACTTACAGGCAGGATATCCAGCCATGACGATAACCTTAAAGGAAATGACGAAGTAAATGGTGTCAATAAGAAGTAACAGCTCCATATCCTAAATCCAGTAAAGTCAGTATTGTTTATAAGATAAGAAGATAGTACGCGCGTTCTGATTGGTTAAAAACCCATGGTTTATTGTGCCGGTAAACTCATACAAAAAAGTAATAGACCACACCTTCTATGGGTTTACCGGTGTGATTACCCACTTGGGATCTTGGGAGAACACGAGAAAGTGTGGTCTATTGCTTAAATAAGCACCATTGAAATATACCAGGTGAGCTTCCGCACGAAAACGTGATATCTTAACATGTGAAAATAACATGTTATCTTCACATGTGAAAAGATTACCGTTGCGATGGCTACATAATAAATCGCGCCTTTCGCAGCAAAAAAAATATTTAAGTGAAATGGTTTGGCATTTCATTGGTGTTTATTTAATAAATAATTCTCGAGTTGAAAATATTTCACGAGCGAGAGCAGCGAACGAGTGAAATATTTTTCAACACTTGAAGAGAAATTTCGTATCTCCGCGAGGCCAAGAAATATCTCTATGTATAGCTATGGTTGCATGGTGTGTGAACACGTTTGTGAACTCCTCACTCATTGAAAGTCCCAACAAAATCAGAATGGAAAAGTTGCTATTATACAAAAGCTGAACTGACAGGAAGACCACTGACACGAAAAAAAAGGTTCTACGTTTAGATGGAAAAGGCAATCTTGGGCAAAAACCTTAAAAAACTTTGCAATAATTCACTCTCTTTCATTTCCCCTCCCTGTTTCAGCCAAGTAAGTGAGAAATCACAAATCAACACTGTAGAAGGAAGAGTGGTGATCCAAGGATTTTTGACGAGGAGAGCAGTGCCCGATGTTGAAGGAAGGCTTGAGTGTATTCAATACAAAATAGTGGCTATTGTGGAGGCATTTCGTGTGAGCAAAGAAGCCACCTTTCTATTTTGAACTGTTATTTCACATAACCAACGAAGAGTCTATGCTGTCTATTCAAGGCAAAACAAAACTGTTTAAGCATAATTATCCTTATTGGAAAAGTGTAACGTTAGTCTAACAATAATCTAGTTGTACCTCTTGCTTTTCCGACGGCAGTTTTGCATTTGGCGGATTTAACAAATCTGCATTAGGGTCTAGGTTTTTCTGTTGATAGAGAAAGACATGATCTGATCAAGTCAGGTTACAACAGAAGTTGTTTTCTTTTTAAGAAAAGAATAATTCTCAGTATCATTTTTCCATACCCTTTTTTGACAGTTATTGACAAATATTTTTTTCATGTGTGTGGATGCCGTTATTAATCGTGTTGTTAAATGGTGTTGTTACACTTGCGTCAATACATACTGGTATAAACTTGGGCCACTCAAATGGTGCAGGCTTCTGCTTCAGAAAGAACTCCTCTGGGGTGTAAAAGTCAATTCCAATGTTTGCTGCAAACTTTGGTAAGCAAATTGGAATAAAAAAAACACATGAAAAGTAAAATTTTTATGATCTTAAAAATCCTGGTAAGTATTTTCATTACACACCAGCAACTTACTTATTTATATTTAATTTATAACAACTTTATTATCAAAATAATTAGACAAAAGGGTGTCACCAGAGAGGAACTAAATCGCTATAATAGGGCAACCCCCAAAATTACAGAACTAAAATAGCACAGAGCAAGTGTGTTCTGGCAGGGGGAACAAACTTGCCCCCTGCCATACAAGTGTCTTTGAAATATTATTATTCTGTGACTTTGTGGTGCTAAATCTTGGTTAGTTTTCCACAAATAACTTCCAAAATTGACAGTTTTACAGATTTTTTTAAGGAATTCTTTCTAGCTGTATTGGTGAATATTCACAGACTGGTCCCAGTCAAAAGTTCAAAAAACAGTGAAAAGGTCTATTGAAAGTGATTTTTCAATTAATAAATTGCTTTTAACTTGATCAATATATTCTGCAATAAATTGTTTTTGGTTTTGTATTTGCAACTAAAAACATGTTTTTGTACTAATTACTAAATGTGTTCTAAATACAGTTTTGATGTTGTTTCAATAAAAATAACAAAAATTATCTTCCTACCGTTCTGTCATTACAGGAAAAGTCCTTCTTTTTGCCTGGAGCCCATCCTGCTGCTCGGCCTGCAGCATCTGAAAGTAATATGTGATCACTAACTCATTTTTCACACATTGAAACAAAAGACAAAGCTTTAAGAAAGGAACAAGTCAAAAAATTAAATAATTTTAAGTAAAGTTTGTGCAAAAATGTCATTAAAAATTTAAGATTAACCTGTAAAGGCACCAGTCAGAATCAGGCCATTAGTAAATATCATTCAATAATAATGAGAAAAATAGGAATAAACATAGGAGGGAAATTCACAAAGTTTAGAGTTAACATTTTCGCCTCTAAAAATTCTTCTAATTTATTATGTTAAAGACATTTTTACGAATGCTCCACTGACGATCCAACGATCCGACGAGTGCCACATAGTCTGTACATGTAAATACTTGATGCTGAGTTAAAATTGTCAGAGTTTGAGCAAATAAATTAAATTCTTACCACCAACAAAGAAGCTATCTTTCAGGCTTACTGTAACACCATCATTAGCCTGAAAGGAGTGAATACAAGAAAACAAGAAAAAAAAAACAACTTTCAGAGTTATATTTCATGGGTGGGCTTGGTAAAGATTGAGAGAGTACTCAGCATGTCCCATGTACAGTCACAATGTTTTATTTTAAAAGTAGCCAAGATTGGGAAGAGTATAAAAAGAGCAATCAGTAGGCCATAAAAATATGAATAAAAAAATGAAAGAACTCAGAGAAATCTATGATCCCCGAGAAAATGCCTGTTCTACTGGCTGTGATAAAGCCAGAAAATTCAGGAAAGGGTTGATAGAGAAAAATACAAACTATGATAACTATTTCATCAATACTTTTGTTTTTATATGTGGTAAGGTCCAAGTACCTTATCAAGTAGATGTTTCCACATTCCAGTAACTGGTTTACGATAAACATTAAGCCCTGGCGCAATAAAAACCTAAAGGAGAACAAAGTAAAACAAATTATTCAACAGGTACAAAATGGAGTAAGATATAGCTTATATACCGGTAATGAACAATTTATTACACATATGTATTTTGAATGAGCACTTGTGCTCTTAGATGATTGTGGTTAAATAAATTATTGTTATTGTTGTTGCTATTGGATAAGTCTGAGTATTATTTAAAAATTTACGGAAATAGTGTAAGGAGAGTGTTATCCATCAACGCCCAGTGCAGAAGATAGTTTTTAAACTATTAGGTTTACAATGGACACATTGAAACCCATTCTCTTCCCTCATCATTGTGTGGGCATCACCTCAATTAATTCAATTAATGAACAGTTTAAGCATCAGATTCTTTCAAGAAAAGCTCTTCTTTTTTTCCCACCCCTACGATTTGCCAAAAATGCAGTGTTCGCTTCTTCACTAAAGGAGAAATATCAGTGTAGCCAGTTATGCAATTATCCTACCTGGACGGGTATGTTTAGTTCATTTACAATCTTCTCAATTTTTGCTTTTAAATCTGCCACACTCAGTTGCTTCTTCTGAATGTAAAGCTGGCAAAAATTTAACAGTGATGCCAGTTAGTAAATCTATAATAATAGGCAGGTACAAAAGTTGGACAGGATCAACTCGGACTGCCTGAGTCCGGGTCGGATCAACTCGGATCAACTTGGATCGATTAAAGAAATAAAAATAAAATAAAATTGGACTCAGATCAACTCGGATCATAAAAAAAAAAAACAACTCGGATTATGAAAAGAAAAAGAAAATCTGTCGGTATCACTTAACTTTCACCTGCCATTTTGGTTTTTTCTCACGAACTCGTGGTTGCGTAAATTAATTTTATTTTTATTAATTTTAATGATACACTAATGAGCAGCACACATACACTTCCAGTGAACATTTTCAACTTGGAAGGAGGAGAGATCATGCTTGCCCTGGACAACGAAAATTTTCGTACCCTGGGTGAGAATTGAACTCACGACCCTCCGAATACTACATGTTTATCGGACGTTCCAACCACTTAACTGGAGGGTCGTGAGTTCAATTCTTGCCTGGGGCACGGAAATTTCCTTTGTCCCGGGCGAGCGCGGTTTCTCCTCCTTCCAAGTTGAAAATGTTCACTGGAAATGTATGTGTGCTGCTCACTAGCGTATCATTAAAATTAACTTTTGGTAACTATCTAAATATGATCAACAGACCAGGCTTTTGATGCTTTTCTCATAAATAATTCAGTACACTTATTAATCAAAAATTATGCGCATAACTTATGATCACGCTCACCTCAACTACTTTGTTTCGTGACAAAAAGCTGCAATAAAATAAAAAAATAAGCAAATATATATTCTAGGTGATTGAAACTATCATTTTCTTGGAATGAAGCAAATTCATTGAGAAAGATGGTCGAGATTTTACCTTCCTCGAGGTCATCCATATCTGTGAAGCAGAGTGCATCGTGTAACGCAACCACAAACACGAGTTTATAATACGATCTGAGAGGAACTGGCACTAGTAAAACAAAATGGTGCCTGAAAGCCACGGAGAAGAAAGGATGATCTGGCCTTTTTTACCCTTCAAATGGGTAAAAGTTTCAGTTTTTATTTTATTTTTATTTTTTTATTCGATCTGAGTTGGTCTGAGTGGGTCCAAGTCGATCCGACCCGGACTGGCGGTCCAAGTTGATCCGGTCTGACTTTTGTACCTGCCTTATAATAATGGTATATACGTCTGTACAGAGGAAATTTAAGTAAAACGTAAATGTCAAGTCCACATGCACCAGGATTTTACACACTAACCAACAAGTCAGACAAGAGTCTAAAATGCTATAATGACAAAAAAATATGTGACAATTAAAATTGCTATCTGTTATTCTGGGACTAACAAACAGTCAGAAACAAAGTCTTCATTGCTAATTGGCCAATGGCAACTTGCCATAATAATACTTTCTCACCAATTTTGACTGGCATAACCAGAAGCAACATGTTGTCCTTTTGGCAAGTTTGTCTTGCTATTGATATGGCCCAGCACTGTACACCAACAGTATTTATAGTTATGACATTGTAATTTGACGTACATGTATGTAACCTATTTTGCAACATACCTGATTTGTAAAAATTACAACCTGGAATGTAAAGTGATGTTAAAAGCAAGTAAATAAAAGATGGATAGAGTAGAACTGGACTCTTGTCTACACATCTTAGGTTAATCAGCAGTATATGTAACAGTTACATTTATAACTATTAGATATTAAAACATTGCTTCTAGATGTACAAGCAAGCAAATATTTCAAAATGGCCACCTTGAGTACAGAGGTAGTTACACATTATTTTTATGGAGGAATTGTTGTATATGCTTACCCAGTATTTTGTTTCCTGTGTTCATGTTCGCTTTTATTTTCACTGCTGCCCATTTTCACCTTGCTGGACACTAGCATTTCTCATTTTCTCACCTCTGCTTTGAATTTCCATGTTTTTATTCCTGCGAAATTTGTCTCCTTTGTTTTCAATAACTCGCTCTAGCTCTTTCTCTGTTCTCCACATTAGTGTAAACATAAAAAATAATGCCGAAAAAGACACGACTTTGTTGTTGTTTTTTCTTCCTAAAAGTCCGCGCGGCCATGTGATTTCTTTCCAAATAAAACCTTGAGTTGCATTTGGGTTGCCATACCTGTTGATTGAGTTATTTTACATTGGTACGCCTGTGGTGCGGACGGACGATCGCTCGCTCGTTCGCTTGGTGTACGGTCACGTGATTACCAAATTTTCTCAGATGGGTAGATTACGTCATTTCCTTAGCTATGGGGCTCTGCGTGCGTGGAGCTCCGCTAAAAATTGCAGCAATGTGAGATCATCTGATACACAATTTGCAGACCTGCTAGTAATTGCATTTCTGAGCCTCAAAATTTTACAGTTTTCAAGGGGAGTAATTCTCCTCTCTTTCTCTTAATTAGGTCCCTATTCTACCACTGAAAGCTTCTTATTGCAAGAATGATTCGAACTCCTGAATAATTAAATTAGTTACTTTTAAATATTGTTATTAGAAATATCACAATTAAACTACCTTGTATCCACTTTTCCAAAGTTCACTTAATCTTGGAATGACTTCTGGATAAAGAATTCTGGATGAAAAAAATTTATTAAAGTCATAAGTCATTTCAAAATCTTTGCTCTGACTTTCATTGTCGCTCATTCTTTCGCACTATGTAAGGGGTTACAATTTGGAGGGTGCATGTGCAACTCACCTCCAATCTGTTATTGATGCAGCAAACACCTTCCCAGACTGGGTTGTAATCAGGGTGCTGTCAAGATCAAAACCTGCAATCTTAGACAATTCAAATAGTAATACATGTCATTAAGATCACAGAAAATCAGATGCAACAGTTTTAGTATGAATGAAATCTATGAATGAAATTCGTAATAATCATTATAGTTAACCTCGATAGCAGGATTAAGGTAAAAGTCTGCATTCAAGCCACTGACTCATAAGACTGAAGCTTGCATGTCCTGGTTTCTGTAGAAGTATGAAAGACTAGGAGTACTGCTGCTCCCCTTTGGATCACATTTTACAGGATAACTCTACTTGTACAGTCATTAATTCACAGGGGTGAAGAGAAACAAATAAATTATTTGGAGCAAAGTTTCTTGTTTAAGTAAACAATGTGACAACAAGGCTTGAATACAGACCTTCGCTTGGCTACCACACCTCTTCGCCAAAACCATATAATTGACAAACTTTTTAGCTCACACTCACACAGTGAAGAGCGTATCCCCTTCAGTGTGTTAAAAATCTTTCTCTTCACAGACAGATTTCTCACTCACCAAAAAAATATGTGCAGCTGACTAAGGGCTTCTTTTACATCCCACAGTCAGAAAAGATAGATTTAAAGATTTAACTATGGTAAGGACGGTGTAAACATCACTTAAAAAGAGACTTTGCATAATTTGTTTGGAACTTATGCGTAGTTATCCCAACAGGTTCTCTTTGTCACATGTCGGCCAGCTCCCCTGGAGTTGAATTCCATAATTGAAAAAAGAGGTCGTGAAATTCATCTTCCCCTATGTCCATTATTGATGAAACATGAAATTAGGCAGTTTCACGTACTATTAATGCAGTGTAGGCAAAGAAATGTAACAAAAAGTTTGCCAACACATTGCTAATCTACACCTATAATAATATTGCATTTTTGACGTTCTCATTGCTGACCCCATCTTGACACTCCCTATTAAGTGAAAGGGCTGTGGGACAGAGGTGAAAGCACTGCCTGTGAGATGGTAAAGAAGACTAGAGATGGTTCAACTGTTTGCAGTTCCTTCTGTTCCTCAGCAACTTCAAGACCCTGAGTATAGATCTGGCCTGTTACGAATGGAACCTGGGTCTTCTGCTTTTAAGTCTCCTGGTAATGCTAACACTAAGTTACCTAACAAGTTGGTAATTAACTGTAGACCCACAAATCTCATCTTTAAACAACCACAGATAGACATATGAATGCACTCCCGTAGCAGGGGGAGGGGCAGGGTGCACCAAAACCTATGTCTGATTGTCCGGGACAGGTAGAAATTTAGTTCAGACATGTAAACCTTTGACATGACTTGTCCGTGGGACAAAAGCGCATTTCTAATTAGAAAAAATAAAGATTGAAACAGTTGAAAATTGTCTTCAAATTACAGTTGAATAAAAATTCACCTCAAAAATCAGAAAAACAAACCTCATACTCGACAAAATAAGGTTAAATATTCCTTCTAACTTTGCCATTCCTCAGTCATTTCATTTGTTTTTACAATCTTCATTTTCGGTATTTACAAGCGTAATAATGTGATTAATAACATTAAATGCCCGATTGCTTTAGAGTTTTGAGTTTTGAGTTAAACTTTTTGGACAAGAACTCTTGGGTTTCGGACGACCAAATTTAATGCGCTTGTCTGAAGTACGAGTGGATAGGAAAATTCTTCCCTCACTTTTTTGAATTGTCTCTATTTATCCCCATATGGAACAAACAAACACTTTCCTTCAACTTATTTGTGGTATAAAATAAATGACACACAACCCACAATCCCTTGATTACCTCTGACAAAGGGCTGACACTCCAAGTGACAGCTTCTAAATCTCCCTACGAGATAGATAGACATACCTTTGATCTTGCCTTAATTCCACTACTTGTAAATACAATAAGCTTTTGATCAATATCCTCCCATGAATCTTTTAAAACAGAGCGACTGGTAATCAAATCCTCCTTCTTAGCAGTCTTGTTCGAATCATCTTTGTTTTTATTTGTCTTTTGAATTTTTTCAACCATCTCTTGACCAAATTCTCTGCCAATATCCTCAAGATCTTCAGAGGTAAGATGGTCCTCATCCGAATCACTCAGTGTATCATAACGAGCTTTCTTTGCTGAAGGTTCCCCCTCAGCATGATTTCTCCCTGAAGAAGTGGTAGAGTTGAAGTGAATATAGTGGCGATAACTGTCCCCAAGGATACAAAATGTTCCTCCAGGTCCAAGACAAACTGAACCTCCTTTGCTCAGAGTTTTGCCTCCAACAGAACTTGAATTATTTCCTAGCTAAAAAAATTAAATGAGGTATGATAAATGATCATCATGGCAAGACATTCATCACCCCAGATTTCTGTTTGGATATTTCAACTATTTAACAAAGGGAGTCTAAATGGTCAGCATTATCTGTAAAACTATCACGGGTGACATCATGAATTTCATTCACTGGCCAGTGACTTGTGATTAATACCCTGTATATAAGCATCTACAGAACAACTGCCCATACCATCAAGTATATCATGAACCCACAATGACCTTGATTAGCTCAAAGGATAAAGCATTGTGTCCTGGGTTTGATTATTATTCAAACCTCAACTTTTTCAAGTTTCTTTTCAACCATTTAGGTTGTTTAATCAACTGCAAGGATCATCCACTTTCATATGTTTATCCACAGTTCAAAATACGACTCATTTGATATAAAAAAATTTCATTATTTCAATTCACAAATGAAGAAACAAACTAGAAGTCGCCTGCATATTTCACAGCAAGGATAATCTAATTAATAACCCCTAAAGGATGCTCGGGATAATTATTTTCCTTTCACTGAAATTACACTGTGTATTACTTTTACCTGGGTAACTCGCACTTCTTTTCTTGCATAATTGGCTGTGAGTTGAACTTTACAATGAAAAACAGAAGCAAGAAAGATAAGAACTATAATGATGTACAAAGATACCATGGTACTATAGACTAGAAAGTTAGGGGTCCCTTTTATAGCGGAGCTTGAAGCACGCAAAGCGCGCGTGCATGGGTGGAGCCCCATAGCAAAGAAAATTTATCCATCCCAGAAACTTTAGTAATCACGTGACTGTACACCGACCGCCTCTGACCGTCCATCTGCAACACAGGGAAACCAATGTAAAATAACTCAATCAACAGGTGTGGCAACCCAAATGGCACTCGAGGTTATTTTGGCGGGAAATCGCAGTCACCCAAGTCTTGTAAAGCAGAGACAATTAAAGAGTCAATAAAGACGAAAACGGAGAGTGGAAATTGTTTCTGTATTTGTGTTGTCTGAGGTATTTAGCTTAGATTAATATTGTCATGTCCACAAATTTGGAAAACTAGAGCAAGAGAACAAAGGAGACATTTCTTTTGTTGGAAGAGCAACATGAAAATTTTGATAGCATACTTTTACTATCCAAACTACCCTTTAGTACCCCCCCTCCCCCATAGGTATTTCTTGACTTTCTTGTACAGAGAGTCTTCTTCACGATTTATTTAAGTTATTTGTTTGATTGTATTTATTGTCTGCAGTACAATTTGATTCAACTTGCCTTGGTTCCTTGAACATTTTTTGTCTGTTATTCTGGTTAGCGGTCCCCGACCAAGAAGGATACTCTCTCCATCTGGAAGGACTATAGGATCGTGACTTTTCTGACAGCAAATTGCGAGACACTCCATTATACATCTTACGATCCTTAATCCTATCCGTTTACATGAAAGGGTAAAAAGCATCACAACTAATAAATCTGTTTAGAAATCATGATTGATCAGCGGTACTGTCCCAGTTGGGCCTGGCGGTTCGCCGCCATTTTAGTGTTAGGGTTTACGAGGACGATCGTAAATTTTTCGTACAAATTCGGAAGACTCGGAAATAGGCATCGGTTTACGACGAAAGCTGCAATGTGCCCCGGGCGAACCGGGCGAGCAATGTGCTCGCGTAGAACTGCCGAGCTGCAGTGGGAAGGAGCAGGAATCGTTTGATGCGACTTTTAAGGTATTTTTACTGTAAATTTTAATCCTAATAATGTCTCTTTTGACAAAATGTTCTCTTAGCATATAAATAAGACATTAAAAGTATAAATTCCCTCCTCAGAAAGTTGTTGACATGAACTCAGCTGGCTCAGCTGATGAACAGTTGGGTCAGCGAGGAAGGAGATAAGTTAATTAAAAAGGAAGACGGCAACTATAAGCTTCCTTTACATTTTCCCAGCTTCTTTGTAAAAAAACTCACACAACGTGCCATGGGATTGCTGTCAGAATATTGTGGAAGAGTAACACCCTATTTCGCTGGAGGAAAGCGCGCTGCTCTCAAACGATACAACGTAGTTGATAAATATTGTCTTTAATAACACGGCTAATGTAGACTTTTCTTGGTTTCAACATACAAGCAAGTGAAGAATGGAGTACTTTTATAGAGGTTATCTGAGTTGCGAAAGCTAAATTTTCTTGTTATGTTATTTCTCTAATTTTTGATGCCCTGGCTCTGAGCTTGCACGCGATACGACGTGACAAGATGGCCACATTACTGGTCAAAACAGTACAATTGTGTTCGTAGTTTTTGGTGAAAATAGCATTTATACACACTTCATTAGCCTACCCCAGCGGTAAGAAACCTGGGTTTATCAGGCGTATTCTAAAATGGGCAGAGCAAAGTGGAGAATATTTACCCCAGGGCAGTGGTGTTACTACCCTGGGTGCCAGAGGCTTTTCATGCGCGGTTTTCGGTCTCGGACAAGTTTTAACTCTTTTCTGACGGCCAGAATTTAAGAAATTTTGTCGATGCCCAATGAGATAATTTGTAAAAAAATCGTAAAATATTTACTAACCATTTAATCCTATCAAGCTATATATCATTCCATAAAGTTGTTTTTAAAAAAAGTTATGACCTGTGAGAATGTCCTTACTGAGACTGAAAGTGAAAGAAAGACTCCATTTTTTGTCATTAAAAAGCAAAATTTTTACTGAAACCCCTCAAATGATAGGACAAAGGTACATGAAAGGAGACTGTTTTTTTTCACAAGGTTCTTTGATCATTTAGCCAGACAAAAACAAGTATTTTTTGGCCCTCTAAGGGCCCTGGGCTTGTCAGCAAGCAAATTGAAACAGCAAATTTTTTGAGTGTGAATGACATGACAATAAGACAGGTGTACAGACACTAGCAATCTTTTGATTTCTTTCACACAGGATGGCAGTTATTCCAGTTCTAAAAACATACTGGTCACAAAAATGTCAATATCTACATATTGTAATAAGCACTGTCTCCCAAAACCTTCAATAGAAGAGCAGCATAGCGTTGCCATGGCCACAGCAAATGTTCATGAGCAACTTACAGGAGCTACGGAATACATTACTGAACTCAGTCATCTGTCTTTGTCCTTGGTAATTCAAGGTGTGATACAAATAAAAGCAGTTTCTCTCTTTATTCAGACACGTGAACAAGATCACATCTTTCGCATTTCACATTGGGGTGAGACTGAACTCCAGATGAGGAACACACTTTACATCTACCACGACTTCTTTTGATGATTGGGAGGTGAGAGGCTCCATTCCAGACTTTTTTTGGTAACTTAGGTTGCTTCCCCTTCACAGGAACTGGGTCACCTTCTCCAATTCCAACTAGCTGTCTCACCAGTGCTTCCCTGAAGGACAGTTGGTCATATCCCTTCGGTCTTTTCAGGTCAGCTCTTTCTGGGTGTTGACATCGCAGGGCTCGAAATTAAAAAAATCTTCAGGTCATCTTTTGGCGACAAACTGGAGAAATGTAGTCACCAGGTACAAGTTTTTAGTCGCTAGTTTGTATAATGTAAATGAAGCAGCTCACAGTATCAGCCTGGCGTCTGATATTTAGTGCGGTCGCTGAGCCGCGAATTTCAGGTAAACCCGCAAAATCCCGTGAAATTCACAATAATGTGCGAAATACCGCGAAATTTGCGAGAAATCTTATCAAATACTTGTCGATACGACATATTTGAAAGTTATCTCGGCTATTGGGGCTGTTTAATTGCCGAAAACTTGCAAATTTACCTTGAAACTTCATCACCACAATGTGCGAACAATGTCTCAAAATTACCTCAGGGTCCAGAGGAGATGTGTTTGTCGTTAGAACATCAAAACTAGTCGAAAACCTCTGAAAAAATGGGTTATTTTGATCGCGTTACAGTTTCGTTACACATTCTGTAGACTGCAAGCCAAGAGACTGAGGGATCACAAGATCGGCCGATGGCCTTCGGTCACCCTTCGGGCGACGTGCCGTGCGCCAGCAAGGATATGGCTTGCGGTTATTGATTTTCAAAAGTCTATCTGGGTCAGATAAGAAGCGAAGAAATTGTTTACAGTAGATTTATAAAGATCCCATTGGGCTAATTAATCGTGCTAAGCGACAGGTATAGACATTTTTCAAGGTGAGACTTTAAATTAGTAATTCATTTATTCACGCGAAACTCCCCTGGAACCTGTGAATTACCGGGCGTAAATTATGTTGCGAAAAACTGGGCACTAGTCATGATGTTAAAAGCTTTGTCATTGGCTCATTTCTCGAGCACTTTGTTGTTATAATAGATTATCTCTGTTAAAAACATTACTCACGCTCGTCAAATCAGCGCAAAATCAATCAATTTCTAGCGAAATTTACCCAGGAAATTCCCACGAAATCGGCTGTTTTTCAGCGAAGTTAGCCGCGAAAATTTCTGCCAAATCTGTCTCTAAAAATCCCGTGAAATTTTACTTCCGTGACCTATCAGAAGCCCTGTAGTATAGTGCGATCTATCAGATTTGATCGTTGAAAAATATCGCGGACAGAAGTTGGTATAAATTTGGAGATAAATTGGCTTTGTTTATGCGATTTGGCACATTTTGTATGACGAAAGCAAAGCAAGAAAAGATGAAATTTTTGTTTTAACTTTACTCTTTTAATTTAAATCTATATCATAGAGAAATCTGGTCGCCAAAGTGGCGACTAAACTAGAAGTTTTAGTCGCCAAGGAGAAAATGCTAGTCACAATTTCGAGCCCTGCTTCGATATTCTTTCCAAAGTACGAATGCATTTACAATGCTAACATCAATCAGGTGAAAAAATAGTATTTTCCAATACTTTTTCACTTTTCTGAGCACACTGTAAGATCTAATTAGCTGGTCTGATTGGTCAACACCTTTCATCTTCCTGTTATAATCTTGAATAGCTTTTGGCTGTTTCAAGACTTCGATAGAGAACCTTCCTGTGCGAGGATCCTTACATCTCCGTCTACACCAGACACTGTCACTTCCTTTATGGATAGTGCTTAGCATACTAACAACTTTATTGTCTTTCCACTGGATACCAAGAACATCCCCATCAAACCGTTGCCACCTTTGTTTTCCACGGTTCACCTTTTTGGCCCATGTAGCACTTGTTTTCATTTCTTTGGGAAAATGCTTCCTGTTTGCTGAAGTTGTACCACAACCTAGAAGTCCCTCTTGTTTCAAGTCCTTCAGAAGAGGAGGGAAGGTGTAGAAATTGTCAGTATATACGTGATAACCTTGTTGACGCAAGCACTCTGTTAGGTCCATGACCACATCATAGCCAAGCCCTTTTCCTGACGTTCTTCTTCTGGTTTTTCCAAGATACACATTGAAATTATATGTGTAACCCGTATCTGAATCAGCCAGGACCCATAGTTTCAGACCCCATTTTGTAGGCTTGTCTTTATTGTATTGACGCATACCAGATCTGTGCTTCGATCGCACCATTCTTTCATCAACTGCAACTTCCTTGTTGCATTGGAAATAATCTTGACAGGACTGTTTGACATTGTCAATCAAGTACCTAACTTGTCGGAGTTTGTCATCATTATCCATAGCTGTATGATCATTGCATCTAAAAAATGCCATGACCTAAACCTGTCCCTGGAGGAAATCATACGACGAGCCCAGTTGCCATTGTGCAATGATGCAGAGGACCAGTAATACTCTTGGCGAAGTAACAGCACGAAGCCCATAAAAATCAAGCGGGCAATAAAACCATACATTTCAGGGACAGATATCAAATCCCAGCCTTTGTCTGTTTTGATAGCTTGGATTATCAGCAATGTGTTCCTGAGCATAGGCGTTTGTGAAATCACAGAGTTTTTGAACTAATGGTGATGCAAAAAATAATGAGAAAAAGTCTTCCTCTTTGCCGAACTGCAGCATAGCATCTTGCCTAGTTCTGTCAGCTAACTGAGGGCCACGGGGGTCTTCTGGGGTTGAATGTAACAGAAGGCTTATAAGGATCAGCAGTGTTATACCCTTCACTCCACTCCTGTCTAACCCTTTTCGCAGGCGGTTCATCATCATCTTCATCTGAGGATGTATCTTCCCAGTCAGTTCCATCATCTTCCATCTCTTCATCGAGGCCCAGCTCTTCATTTTCAGACAATCCTTCTTCAGAATTGGAGCTCTCACTGTCACTCATAGTTGAAACTGTGGTCAAAGAGGTGGTGTAAATAAAAATTAAAAGGCAAAAACACCAACCAGTAAAGTGAAAATCAAAATTTTGAAACCAGTAAACATCAGTTATGAAGTGCAGATGACAAACATTTTACATTTTTTGGGGAAAAACTTGATTACTGAGGTAAATTATTGCTAAAAACAGTGAAATAGGGCAAAGATCGACAAAGCCCACCTCCAAAACGAATGCAAAATAGAAGAAATACGACGCACCTCTCAGTCGTAACACCTTGGAAATGCTTCGAAATTACGTGTAGCAGGCACGCAAAATTTTCTTGAAGTCACTGGGGGAAAAGTCAGAGTATTTTGCCGATATCTGGCCGATTTTTATCATTCAAAAAGCGTTTTGAAGCTCAGA